TTTCAAAAATAATAAATATTTTACAAACTGTTCTTTAAAGTCTCTAACTCAGAGGATAAATTGGCATTACCATCTAGTAGTTGCATAATCTTAGATACTTGATGTTTTTCAAAAATCTAGTGAAAGATCAAGGCAGTTAGATTCAGCTGCACGTGTCACTGCAATTCCATCTGGTTTGCACACATCAAAATGGTACACAATTCCATTGTCAGTACCTGTAATTTGCTTTCAAGAAAGATGTGAAGGAGTGAGATAATGGTAATACATGGGTCATTTTCCACAGCGAAATAATTAATTGTCAGCTTATCAACTCTTCAGCCAGCATTCTTTTCACACAAAAAAAAAACAACTCAGGTGACAGTCTTTTCATCCAAGTGGGTCATAAATCCTCTGAAAAGTACCATTTTGTTATATAATCTAACTATTCATAAACTATGAAAGGATTATTTGCTGATTAAAAAAATGACAAAATTTCCTAAACATGCACATACGTAAACAAATATAATCCAGAACCAAATGCCAACATTTTACTTCCATTGTTTTTATGAAACTTTTAATTTCCCAAAGGCTGTATTTCAAGAACCAGTAAACTGAGCAGAAATTAGTTTGCACTGGTCTCTCTCAATTCTGAATATTCCGTTTCAGCAGGAACATGTGACTGGTTCTGCTTGTTGTGAAATGGTAATTTTGATTTGCTCTGTGCCAAAGAAGACTAATTTTAAAGGTTTGGTGTTCATAAATCAGCTATGCATAAAGAGGTTTCTCTATAAATACGTAATTGAACTTTTGGCCTTTTCCCTTGATTCAGGCTATTTACTGAGTTTTCTCTACCAACCTCTATAACAACTGATATTCTTTGATCAGTAGTTTGCCTGCACAGATGCTTCTCTCTTAGTGTAGTCTTCACTTGACTTATTCTCTTCCAATGGAAGCTGGAGGTGTGAGTAATTTTATTCAGTTACACTTATGGTTTTGATTTCACATCCTTTGCACCTACTCCGTGCTCTTACTGTTTTATTTCCTCTAAAAGATTAACTTTTTATAGTTATCCACTCCAACTCATGTTCCTTTGAATTCAGTTCCCTAACTACTTCCTTTTGAGCTGTACTTGAAAGAACTTGAAGGTTCAAGTCTTTTTATTCTTTATGTTGTGCACTTCATCTCTCACTAGAATTGCACTCATCTCAAAGTAGGTCTTGCTTATAATTCTGTAAGTCAGGGAATACAGTTAATAGAATCCTCTCTTATTTGTGTAAAAAATAAGTATTTTAACATTGTAAATTATTAAATACCTGAAGTATATTTATTTCATTAAAAAGAATCATGATATTCACTTTGAATCTGGATTTATATTGTTGTATTTATTATTCATTAAAAGGCATTTTCATAGTACCATTTCTTAAAAGTGCTGAACTACATAATCTAACTTCCCGTCAAAGTACTACAGATTTGCATACAGTAAATTGAAAAAAGAATATTAGAGTTGGAAATATTCTTGAAGCTGTTGAAAGCATTTTTTTTTAAGGATAAAGCATTTACCACAAGCACTGTTATACTTTCACTTTTGAGGTTGTATGAGATAAAAAAACATATTAGGGATTGCATCTTCAAATAGCACAAAGAACACATTTGGTTTGGTTTCAGCTTTAACTATATTTTATTTAATTATATGAGTTTACCTGTAATTCCACATGCCTGTATTTCCAGTCTACTTGGACAAACTTGGTCTTTCTTTCCAAATGTATAGTTTCTTTGGAGAGAATTACCTTCTCGTCTTTTAAACAAATGCTGCCCAAACTGAGAAAAAACTAAAGCTCATTTAGAATGAGCTGTCATTTAACTTTTGTTATCAGTTTTTTCCTGATATTATCTTTGATACTTCTGGTTGATTTAATGTCTGACTCATAGTACAGTGATGTTTTGTGCATCTTTGCTTTGATAATGCTCTTTTAAACATTACAGACTTGGTCTTCTCATTAAGTAAAGACTAGCAACTCTGCATTCTTCTCAGTTATTTACATCTTCATATCCCACTGTCACCTTCAAAAATATAAAAAGCCTTTGGCTTTGAAAACATTTAATTTTACTGATGAGAAAGATGAACGGGATTTAGAAGCACACTCTGATTTTGGATGTTCAGCTCCCACAGAGTTTCATTATGGATGAGATTGAGCTTTATTTTGAGTGACAGAAGGCCTGGCTGTGCAGACATGCTATTCCTGTCTCTTAAAGGTGGGAGAATACCAAGTCAATATGTCAGATTTAAAGAAATTATTCTGCACAGCAGCTCTATGCATATTTTTAGGAAAAAATAGACGCTGTTTTTTTCCTTCCCATGATTCTCCATAACACTCAGCAAAGTTTGGTTATAGACAGTTGATTTTGTTAATTTCTTTATGAGATCTTCAAAGGAAAACCTGTAATAAAATTATTTCTAGTGTTCTTTGCCAAGATATTTCTAAAGGTTATAGATCTCTGGACATAAAAAACTAGAAATGTAATTCATTACTCTCATAAATCTTCGCTTCCTCTCTTGGATACTCCATATTAGTACACCACTTTACAATGAATTTTTTTTTTTTGGTTGGTTAGGTTTTTTCCTTTTAATGAAGATAGAGTTTAGAAAATTATTAACAGTTTAAAGTTAAGTCAGATAATTTTTTGGCTTCTTGCTCAGGCAAGAACAGTTTTAACACTATAAAATGATATTATCAATTCAACATTTAGAAGCTCATTCTGCTTTTAAATCCTGGTAAGATCAAAGATAAGTTAGCTAAATATTATTTATTAACTGTAAAAATATCTAAATAATTATCTCCACTGACAGCCAAATTTCTGAAAAAAACTACCAAACTTGTGAAATATTTACTTAAATAATTGCAAATACTTTATGCTTTTAAAATATTGTAGCAATTATAGTTGCGCCTCTGTTATGTTCTTGCACAGCTACTGTGAGATACTGTAGGTATATTTTTAGATTTACTCAGAATTCAAGGCTGCAAACACAAGAAAGCCTCTGTTGTTGAAATATGGCAATTAATCCCAGAATCAATTGTAATTATCCCAGACAGTTTCCTTGATTTTATTTTCATAGAAGATAGATGCATTACCTGTTTAACACATTTTTTATTCAGTTCTTTCACCTTTGCTGGCGACTCTCTGTTGGAAAGACCTCCGCTTAATAGTTCTACACTATTTGCATTACACAATGCCCAGTCATTGTGGTTTAACTCCAGCCAACCACCAAGCCCCACACAACCTCTCACTCACTCACCAGCAGGATCAGAGAGAGAATCAGAAGGGTAAAAGCAAGAAAACTCATGGGTTGAGATAAAGACAGTTTAATGGGGAAAACAAAAGCCTCACACACAAGCAAAGCAAAACAAAGAATTCATTCACTGCTTCCATGGGCAAGCGGATGTTCGGTCATCCCCAGGAGAGCAGGGCCCCATCATGTCTAACAGTGACTTGGGAAGACAAACACCATCACTCCAAAAGTCTCCCCAACCCTTCTTCCTTCTTCCCTGCACCTTATATACTGAGCATGATGACATTTGGTGTGAAATATTCCTTTGGTCAGTTTAGGTCACCTGTCCTGGCTGTATGTTTTCCCAAACTCCCAATTTCCTCACCAGTGTGGAAGCATGAAAAGCAGAAAAGGCCTTGGCTCTGTGTAAGCACTGCCCAGCAATACTGGAACCATCTCTGTATTATCATCAATGTGTTCAACATAAATCCAAGCACAGACCCTTATGAGCCACTGTGAAGAAAGTTAATCATACCCCTGCTGAAACCAGCACACCAGTACACCATCTTCAGGGAAGGAAAGTGAAGTTTATGTAAAGTTTATAGGCGACAAAAATAATGGCATTGGGCAAATCAGTAAACAAAAACAGATGATTGGGGGAAAAAAAGAAGACAAAGATTGAATGCCTAAGAACATAGGTAGGCTAGTGCTATCTATTAAATATAAATTGAGTAGTATAAATAACTTTTATGTGTTCAGACCTTGCATCTGAGAGTGAAGAGAAATGATGATTTTATAGTGCCATTCATTATGTATCAATTTCTTGAGTTTATTATTATATTAACAAAGAACCTGCTGTAATCTGATAATTATTATTTTTGTCTTTTTTTCCATTTTCCTTTAAAAATGCATTTAAAATTGATTATTTAAACATCTGTCTTTTGTTCAAATAACTTCCTTGAAAATTTACCAGAATGTTATTTTTTTTTCATGGAAAAGGAGTTTTTAATGAAAAATCTTGGTTGTCTAATTAAAGATGTAGAATTGTCTTTTTCAACTTGGACATAGTTATAGAAATCAAAATTCAATAGATAATCAATTCAGTTTTAAGAAATTGTTACCAAGTTTCATTGCCTTGATTTTGAGTGCCCAGGAGATACTTTAGTGCCCACTAGCAACACTAAATCCAAAACACATTCCAGAGAAGTCTCTTTAATTTCTTTGAGAATAAAGCTTTTCAATAAGAAGGTCTGATGGAAGGAAACTGAAACTGTGAGATATTGCTATTCAGCCAGTAACTTCTGTGAGTAGACTGTTATTTCAAAAGTTTTGAAGGCTTGGCATCTCAATTTGAGTAATAAAAATAACCATAATGCAAAATACAACAGGTATTTCTCTAATGTGTTTTTTTCACAGAAACCTGTGATATTATTTTCATTTTCTGTAAAACAACCATTCTACAAAGCGTCAAGATAAGCACTCAGGCAAATTGTTGCTGAAAAATTTGTATCTATAAGTGTTTTCAGATTTGTATGTGAAATTCATATGCTGACAGGCAGAAGTCTAAAGTTGCACATGAAGTGCGTCCAGATTTTGATACAGAAATGAAAACATAAATCTGAAGAAACATTTATAACCATTAATAAAGGATTTTATTAGATATTTGTCCTAAAAGTGTCAATTTGTGGTCATATATTTCAATGTGCTTTTATTTTCCAAAGTAATTGTACTGTGTTTTATTTATGTATTTTAGGCACAGAAGGGGCAGTGTTTGGGCACTCTGTGGAGACACCTCATATCAGAGCAGAACCTTCCCAAGACCTCAAGTAGGTGTTGTTAAAAAAGTTGTTTTAAAATCAAATATTCTCAAAAATAATTAAGTCTGGATTAAAAGCAGAATATCTGTACATTAATATATACTGCCTACTTAATGACTCATATGTATCCAGAACACTGGTAGACTCTAGTTTGTTCTAACTAGTCAAAAAGCCACACAAAATCCTATCACACAAAATGTAAAATACATTACTTTTTATGTAGCAGAATCCTAGAGAAGTATATTTTACCTAGAGACTGGAATATTCAGGCATTTTTAAGGTCAAACATGCACAGTACTGTTCAATAGCATCAGACCCAGATTTTGATTTTTTTTAATGAGCTGTTACAGAATATATGAGCCAAGTTAAAGTAAACTCTTCCCAATTTTCCATCGAATGGTGTTTCTGGGTGGTTGGGTTTTTTTGAATACTACACATACACTTTTCAAAAATCCATTAACAATGGAAGGTACATCTGTAAATGTAAAAAATCCAAAGTTTTCTGGACAGAGTCACAAAAGCGGAGAAATAAGTAAATTGTAAAAGATCAAGCTAAAAACTTACTGTAAAAACATTTGTAGACCAAGAGAAAATTTAGAAAAGTTTATAGTGAAAGCTTTTTTTTTTTTTTTTTGAGTGCATATGTGCACTGGTAAATACTAATCTGAGATTTATATGTATGAGAATATGTGACAATCAGAAAATCAAAGATCCTTCCTTAATTAATTGCTATATAAAAGCATTGTTAAATGCTCTTACCTACATTTGCAAAGGCATTTAGGTTATTGCAGAAATCATTTGCAGGAATTTGACTGTTGTATATGGAATGTATGAAGTAAAATATTGTGTTTGATTATTTACACTAAACATTTAATAGTAATGTATAGCTTTGAGGTCTTCCAGAGGATCCTACTCACTAAATTTTTATCTTAAAAAACTCTGTCCCCTTGCAACACTCCTGTCAGTCCTTTGTGGAAAGTAATTGTAAAGGCATTTATTGGTGATAACCACCAAGGTGATATGGTCTCTAATCAGAAGGAGTTCAGCAGAAATCAAAGTGGAAACATAAGAAGCTTTTCTTTTTTCAGAGTACCAAAAATTTGGGTAAGAGGCTGGAACTTTTTCTGCTCAAAAGAACATGGAGACACTGCTTTATCTACTTCTTTCTAATCATTAAATAATATTAACAGACTGAAAATGTATGGTAAAACAGATAACCCTATGTCTTCAGGAGTAATTTTAAGGAGAGATAAAATCATCTTGTGTTGGTTCTGAAATTTACTCATAGGGCATTCACCTTTCTGGTCTTTTGTCTTTATTCATTGCCATGATTCCTATTGCCTAATTTTTTTTCAGCTCCACCATTCCTTCATCTTATTTTTCCAAAGTTGACTTAAATCAGTAAGCATTTTTCATTCAACTTTCTGCCCTTTCATTAATAATGAATGTAACCCAAACTTTTTGTTAAAAAAATTGATGAAACAGAAACCCTTGCTGTTTGGCCTAACAATGTTAGCTAATCTATAAGTGATTTTATTCTTAATATATTCAGTCCATATTGTGTTCTGCAAGTTTTTGTACTTATGTGCTCCTATACATCAGTGATATTCTTTTTGAAAACTCTCAAGTCAATTTAGTAATTTTAAAAGGGTGACAATTAATATTAGAACAATGACTTCTTGGCTGTTGGCATAAATCTTTGTAGCAGGTATAATCTGCAGAACCTTTTTAACCTTGTGTCTTGAAAGAACTATAAATAATTACAGGGTTGTGTTATTTTCTGGTAGCAAAATACAGTTAGACAGATCACCATAAGTAGGTCACCAACCCCTGTGACCTCAGAAGGTACCTCTGTCACAGAAATAAAAAATATTAGAACTCATTTTCCAGGCTCAGATTCAACTGATACAATCACACTGATATTGTAAAATCATCCTATCCTCTGAAACAGAATACTTGCATCCTAAATGCCAAGAGGGAATGGTCTTTGACTCTTGCTACTCTCCAAATAGTGCAAATTGTTTGTAGAAGTTGTAACTGGCTCTCAATTGAATCAGATATTTAGCTGTATGGATTATTGAGTTCCAGTGATCTGGTCTGGGCCTTAGCGCTTTTCTTGTTTTAGTATAAACTTCCCAAACTGTCCAGTACTGGCAGTCCTAAAATGACATAGAATATTTCTCCGAGTGCCTGCATCACTGTACCTTTGGACATGTAAAATTAATGGTAGCATGGGACAGTAGAGAGTTTGCTGAATTATCATTAAAGGTCATTCTTTTCAGTCGACAAACTTGAATGCAATTTGATAGCAAGTATATTTGGCTATGAAAATAATTATATACAGGACTGAAGTTAATAGAATATACATTAGCTTTTTAATTAAAATATAAATCATCCCATAATTTTCATATTAGAATACATATTTGTGGTCGGATAATAAACCTCAGACATCAGATTTTTTTTTTTTTTTCTCTTCAAAATAAAATATGCTGAAAACCTATTCATAGCATTGGTAAAACAATTCACTACTGAAAAGAAATGGAATACTGACCACCTTGATTGCTGTCAGTGAAACATAACTAGAAAATTTGGACTAAGATTTTGATATCCACAAGGCTCATATTATTTCTGGGGTTTTTAGCTTAATTTTTTCTGGACAGGGAGACAAAAAGTAAAGGTCGGATATTAGTGTTACATATCTAAACTTTGACTCAGTCACTCTTTGTTCTATAGCCAGATTTTGTGGTTTTCATACAGAGAAACTTACCTAAAATTTACTATTAAAAATGTGTTGTGTAAAAATAAAATTCAGTTGATTTCTAATATATTTCCTTCATATGTGTCCACCACTTTGGTCACATCTTTCTCCTTTCTTGCATTTTCAAATAATAGCTAGCAAGGTTTTGCTTTCAGAAAATGTTTTTATACAATCCTTTTTGAATGCTTTTGTGTCAAATCCCCAAAACTAATTAAAGCTGACTTTCATTAGTTGGGATAAGCAGCATAAAAGAATCATGCATTAGAATCAGGAAGATGAATTATATCTTAATAATTTAATCTTCATATTTCTTTCACTACTTTTCCTCTCAGGAACACAGTGAGGTAAACTAAACTCTTAATATAATCCCCAAATATTGATTTTAGGCTAATAATACATTAAAATATGGTGCACTAATAGGTAATATCCATGCAGAAAAGACACAGACAGTAGTTAAATGCAGATAGCTTTGCCCTCAATAACCTCCTTAATAAGGGGATAAATTAATTTGTTGTTATTCTCTAGAGATAACTGCAAGATCAACTTTAATAGGTTTTTTTCTGTGTCAAGCCTCACATACCATTAACTATCAGCTAATCCTGCAATGTAATGCTGGGCATAAAGGTGAAAATTGATCAAGCAGCACAGAACCACCTAAGCCAGTAGAATCCTACTTTACCTCTTATAAGAATTAAAAATACACATATCTTGCACAGGAGGTCTGCTTCACTCAGAGTTGTCTGATGGTTTGTAAGAGACACCTTTTGTGGCATTTAAGGAGTGGTTTACTAATAGGGCAAAGTATATATTCTATAAAAGCCTGGAGCCAGAGGATGCATCAGAAAGGCGTTTTGACCTTAACTTATTAGTCATATGAGCAGGCTGAGAGTGAAAAAAGCATTTGGACTGTTCATTTATTTTAACCCAGAAATCAAATAATAAACCAAATCTCATTGAAAGGGAGAAGATGTAGAAGAGTAATAAAGCACAGTTTCTTTCCTATGTTGTTTTAATGATGTCACATTCTAGTCACTTTCATAGTGTCCTCTTTTTAATATAGTGAAAATAATTGCAATTTTTCATAGTTTCACAATTTCTTTGTTTGGGCATGTATATTGACAGAAACTTGTTTGCTTAATCTTATCATTTGCTGTTGAAAATATGTTTGTTTTGGCTTTTTTTTTTTAGGTACATTTTCATACAAAAATAATTATGGGTGTAGTAAAATTTCCAAAATTGGAATTTCCAAAATTTCCAAAAGTCAAGCTTATGTTTTTACATATCCACGTGCTTTTATATGTGTGTCTATATATATGTATATATATAAAATAATTAAAAAATACTTTAAAGTAAATAGCGAAGAAAGATGGTAATAAAAGGTTTTAATTACTATGCAGATAGAACACAGTAAGAATAAAAGGTAGCTGGGTATGGCTGTCAAACTGAAAGAATTACTTGTTTTATTATTCAGTGATGATGATTATATTCGACATTGGAAAGGAAAAAGGCTCTAGGAGGAACTGAGATACAAAGGATAAAAGTATTACTATCACAATAGACAGTAAAACTCATTGAGTTTTGTGTGGTTAATTTAGGGTGCTGGATAATCTCTATCCTTGATCTGTTTCTGAGCTAATTGTGAAAACAGGTCAAATAGCCAGATTTATAATAAAGCTTACGAACTGGAAAGGAAACGGGACTGACGGTTTGGTAAAGGTAGCACTTCTAGTGAAATGGATGAAAATGACAGATTAAGAGAGTCATCTAGTAAATTAGACCCTTTAGTCTGAACTCACTAACATGCAATGCTGTACAATATTATTTTGAAAGAATCATTAAGGACTTGAAAGTAAGTAAAAACTGGGATGAAATAGAAGCTGGGTAAAATCCACCAATCTAAAGAAATATTTTTCTCTTGATAAGATATCTGATCTTCTAGAAAACAGAAAATAGGTGGATCTTCGATTTAGAGTTTAAGTAAACTATTTTGTATATGGATATATCTAATGAGAAATTAAAACACAGCACAGAGAAATGCATATTCAAAGAAGTTTTAAGTGGTATATAATATGCATGCATTGTTCAAAACCTTCCTTCAGCCTGGAGGGAGATTGCAAGGCAAGTAGTTTCAGGTCTGATCTTATTTTCAGTTTTAGCACTCTTTGTGCTAGAATGAGGTACATAGGTTTGAGAAACTGGAAATCAGATCTTAAACACTAGATTAAGGAAATTTTGAAACTCAGCAGTATGA